CTGTATGCTGGCAAGAAGGCTTAGAATATATCAAAGAGGATTGTCCTTGACTCCTGAACATGTAAACATTGTAGTAGCAGCAACAATTGCTTTACATAACTTTTTGAGAAATAGCGAGACTTATTGTTCAGAAGACGATTTGAGAGAAAATATGAATCACGGTTTAGTAGATTTACCTCAACTCCCCCCGAGTTATGCGTCTCAAGCCGTATTCGAAATTCGAGAAAAATCCAAGTATAAATAATAATCAACCAAAGCGAAATAGAATAAAAACTAGAAGAAAAGATATTTACTGAATCGGACATACAACAACTCATCAAAAAGTTAAAACTAAGAAAGAGTCCTGGGGCTGACAGAATAACAAATGAACTAATACTTTCTCAGGCACCTTAATTACTTACTCTTTTGACCAACCTCTTAGATAAAATGATAAATTAAAAATCAATACCAAAACCACTGCTTCTCTGACCACTGACAGAGTGAAAACCTGTAATATTGTATAAAAAGGCGATGCAGGAGATATTGCAAACTACAGACCTATCAGTTTAATGTCCAATATATATAAATTATTCTACTTAGGCATACAACAAAAAATTACACCAATTATACAGTCGTTTCAGCACCACAGATCACATTCAAGTCATTGAGCAAGTTATAGAAAAGCTTACAGAGTCCAGAAGAGGTAGTAAATTAAGAGAGCGAAGGACAGAGAAAGATAGGAAAAGCTAGAGGAGGCCTTTACCATAGAGGGGTCCAAACCAAAATAAAAGTGCATGTCATTTAAATTTTTTTAAATGCTTATTTCTATGAAAATAATTAGTTTAGTTTTTTTTTAGATAAATGTATTCCTTTTTACTATTGTTTGGTTATGGAAATAAAAGGCTTATTATTATTATTATAATAGTAAATACTATAAGTGTAAAAACTAAAATTAAGTAACGAAAATACCACCGAACATTGTTGAACTCAGTGAAGAGAGGTGCTAAGAGGCTTATTGGTAACCTTGATTTGGTTAAACCCAATCTTTTTAGCCTCAAAAACAAGCGCAGAGTAGCTAGCCTTTCGATATTCTAGAGGATGCATTTCGGAGAGTGTGCGCAGGAATTACATGATTTAATTTCTCCTTCCCCTTTTCATCATCGGACAACCATGCGGTCGCCGGGTTTTCACCTCTTTGCTTTCGATGTTCCACGCATTTGAACCAAATGAATTGCTTTATTTTTCGTAATGCGTACAGCAAAGGAGCGGAATAATTTGCTGCCGTCTGTCTTTCCATCCAAAAAATATAGTAGTAAATAGGCTTTCGTTAACGCTAAGGAACTTTTGTTAGCTACGAATAGGGTACTAATATTGATATTTTTAAATTTCAGAACCCTGGATTGTCAATACTCATGTCTACAATGTTACCTGATTGGAATTACAACACAGTAGACGATGGATTTTCTAGTCAAGCATTAAGGACAAAGAATATACACATGATCAGAGGAAAAATGCTAGGAGGCTCCAGTGGAGTCAACTACATGTTTTATGTAAGGGGGAACAAAGCTGATTATGATAAATGGGTAGAATTGGGAAATAATGGGTGGGATTGGGAAACGGTAACAAATTATTTTAAAAAAAGTGAACATCTACTGGATCCTCCCATCTTAAAAAGCAAATCTGGCTATTTGCACGGCACAGATGGTTATTTAGATATAATACGACCAGTTTGGAAGGAAAGCTCTGAGAAATATTTAGAAGCGTTTAATGAAATTGGCCACGACGTTCTGATCGACACAAATGGAAATAAACAAATTGGGTATTCATACCCTACGTTTACAATTGGCAAACATTTACGGCAAAGTACAGCAGTCGCTTTTCTAAATCCAATTATAGACCGACCTAACCTATATTTGTTAAAGAACACATTAGCCAGAAAAATTATAATCGACAAAAACAAAAAAGTAACCGGCGCAGAAGTAAATTTATCAAACGGACAAGTAATAAATGTCAAAGCTAATAAAGAAGTAATTTTATCAGCTGGAGCTTTTAATAGTCCTCAGTTATTGATGCTTTCTGGTATAGGACCAACAAATGACTTGAATGAAGTTGGCATTAAAACTTTAGTTAATTCCCCAAATGTAGGGAAAAACATGCAAGACCATGCATTGGTTCCTATTTTAATAACTGCAAAGAAAAATGACAAATCAATTTTGGAATTTATAAACACTTTAAGAAATTTTGACAAGATTCCATTCCCGATCTTGTTGGGGCATGTTGCTTTAAATAAATCTCAGACTTATCCTGACTACCAAGCAACTGTCACGCCCTTATACACGGGCGCCATGGTACCTGTTATCATGTGTACTAAAATATTTAACTGGAATGATGAAGTATGTAAGGCGCTGACCAAAGCTACTTTAGACAAAGAGACATTATTTGCGGTATTAACACTACTGCACCCTAAATCTAAAGGTAGAATTAAACTAAAGAGTAAAAATCCTAACGATTCTATTGTTATCTATTCTGGTTTCTTTTCTGAGGAAGAGGATATAGAAAAATTCGCAAAATCTGTCGCTGACTATACTAATATAGTAAATGCGTCTTACCTCAGGAGTGTTAATGCTGAAGTTGTGAATGTTAATGTTGAACAATGTACTAAATTACCATTTAAAAGTCACGACTACTGGAAATGCTATGTATTGAACATGGCATCGACAGAATTTCACCCAGTTGGAACTTGTGCTATGGGTCCCGAAAGTGCAGGTGTTGTTGATGAGAGATTAAGAGTGAGAGGCGTGAAGGGTCTACGTGTGGTGGATGCAAGTGTAATGCCCACTATCACAAGTGGGAATACTAATGCTCCTGTTATAATGATTGCTGAAAAAGCTGCAGACATGATTAAAGTTGATAATAAATTTTAATTTTAGACATAAATCGCTGATCGACTAGCTATAAATTATTTATTTTTCATAAGTGTAGTAATCTGTGCCTAAATCCATTCATATTTCCTTTCATTATTCCATCTATCCTTCCATCCATTCATTATAGCCTGTCAAAGGTGTCTCCATAGATTGCTTTGTAAGGGGATATTTGCAATCGTTGCCACAATTTTTTTTAATTTATTATTTTAACTTTTATGTACCAAATAACCATGCATATGGCGGAGTTAATCTTAAGGAATTCTCTGAGTCAACCATTAAGGCTGGCTAAGTAGAAATAAACATATGTGCGATAGTCCAGCAAAATTAAACTAAGAAGTAGACAGATACATAAATCTACATAAATATAAATTATATGTGCCGTGTAGTAGCGGTTAAGAATATCCACTACCCCTTATCTTCCCGTGGGTGTCGTAAAAGGCGACAAAGGGAAACAGGCAGGAGATGGGTAGAAGCATCTTCCTGATAACAGCAAAATTACAATAAAAAAACTGCGGTTGCCAACCCGCTCGCCAAGCGTGGCAACTATGGCAAATACCCCCAATGATGAGAGTAACAAAGAGACGGCCCCCAGTCCCCGTCGGCCCCGCTATTCCTGGCTACGGTGGCGACCATGGTAACGGCGGGGCAGGGGGTGCTAAGAATCTCCGGTGGAGGTTCAGTTGCCACCTAAGACGATTTGACCTGGCAATATACAACGCACGCACCCTGAGGACTGACGAGAAGATCGTGGAGCTGGAAGAAGAGATAGGCAAGTAACGCTGGCATATTATAGGATTATCCGAGGTCCGAAGAGAGGAGGAGGACACGGTAATCCTCGAATCCGGCAACTTGCTCTATCTCCGGGAGGGCGACCATCTGTCCCAAAGAGGTGTCGGATTTATCGTCCGTAAGTCTCTCGTTAACAATGTTGTAAAGATTGCGAGTGTGTCGACGAGGGTTGCGTACCTGATACTCAGAATCACCAAATGATATTCGCTGAAGGTCGTACAGGTTTACGCACCAAACTCGTTACATCCTGATGAGGAGGTGGAGGAAATGTATGAGGATATCTCTAGAGCCATGCATTCCTCCAAACCTCACTATACGCTGTTAATAGGAGACTTCAATGGAAAACTAGGCACAAGAGAGAACGGTGAGCTGAAAGTAGGGAAATTTAGAATAGGCCAACGGAACCCAAGGGGCCAGAAGCTAGCCGACTTCATGGAGAAAGAGGGACTCTTTATGATGAACTCTTTCTTTCAGAAGCGGCCCCACAGGAAGTGGACCTGGTCGAGCCCCGACAGTTCGACAAAAAATGAGATTGATTTCATTATGACTTCCAGACGACAACTGTTCAGTGATGTCTCCGTGATCGTGAGGGTGAAAACTGGTAGCGATCGCCGAATGGTTGAGGCACACTGAACCTAAACGTTAAGTTAGAGAGGTCTCTAACTTAACGTCTGAAGTCAACGCTCCGTCCCCCTCATGCTCTGTTCCAAAGTCCCGAAACCTTTCAGCTCGAGTTACAAAACCGTTTTCAGTGCCTAGAAGACTGCAATGCAGTGGACGATATGAATGACAAGCTCGTGGAAACTGTCCATGCGGTCGGAACTAAGTTCTGCAAGACCCGCCGCAGAAGAACACACAAACTCTCCGATCACACTCTTAATCTCATGGATGTTAGATGGGAGATGAAGCTACATTCTTCAACAGATTTGACAGCATACAGACAACTGAACGGACAAATCTCCAAATGCATGCGGCGGGACTTACGCAACTTGAATACAGTTTGTATTGAAGAAGCGATCGAGCTGTTATACGGGGCTTCACGAAATGTCTTTTAAAAAAAAACTATTTAGAAATTACAACTGGATTTATTATAGAATGACACAATTTTGGAATTGAAATTGAGAGGCGAGTATTTCGGACGAGAGCGTATGACGGACTGCGCGGTATTGCTAGTGTTGAAATAAAAAAAGTACCGAGGCTACTAAGAGAGTGCTGACTGTGTGCTTTGTGTCAGCGGATCCCTATTAAAAGGGAATCTATAACAACCCCCACCGTTGAGAGGAAACTCACCCTTAAGTGAGTTTACGGCTACTCTATGCGTAGCTGTGGTTGATCAGCGTGATGATGATTTTCTGTATTTTCTTTGTTAAAATTAAAATGCTCTCCGAAAGACTTTCCTCTCTTACAAATTATATAGGTTATAATAGATATGCAAAGTGTTACAGATATAAGACTTATTATAGAGAAACTAACATTATACAAATTCGGACTTTCTAGGGTGTCTAGTCGTTTGATAATCTGATCGGAATCAGTGTGGTAAGATTTTAAATTTTCTAAATTCAAAGTTTTTACATTTATAGAAGACGTAAGGTTAACTGAAAATTTGTTAAGGTTACTTAACTTACAACAACTATCATTAATTATATTAAAATCCGAATATATTCCGGGAACATTTATACTAGGGTAGAGCTTAGTTTTTCATTTCAGCTTCTTATGGAAAGCTACGCAATCAGGTGGAATAGTGAGTAAGCCCGTCCCGGATAGAGTGTATTCGGTTAAATTATTACTACACTCTACTGATAACTTAGTGGGTTTGGTTTGAACAAAAACCCATTTGTTGTTGTATAGCTTATGCCATATATCCAGATCACCGGAAATTAGTCTAAATGGACAGTAATCTGGGATTGATATCAAGGCTTTCGTCATAATTTCTATTTCACAGGGTACATTATTGGATACTGTAGCTACATCTACAACATCACAAAGGTAGGTATTTGTCGGGATATTTTTTCAATTATTTATGTCTTGTAGATAAACATAACTTGTTTTATCTTTGCTTAGCGCTACAAAATTTTCAGAAGGGATGATCATGGCAAAAGAGTTTGCTCTATCTTGAGCATGTGGAGTTGGCAAAGGTAAGTTCTTATATATATTATACTTTACGTGGTAGAGCCATGCTGCAGCTATATTAGTAGTATAGTTGTAGCACGAATGGGTCGGCTCGACCGGGGAAGGACCACGCTCTCACAGAATACCAGCGTAAAATAGCAGCTTAACACTGCTGTGTTTCGTATGGTGAGTGTAGAGAACCGGAGACCCGTTTACCGGTAAAGAGGCATTCCATCTTAGTCCTCACGGGTGACAACGCATCTGTATTTTGATTCGCAAATGAGGATAAATATAGATGTCTATGGGCCACAGCAACCACATACCATCAGGTGGACTGTGTGCTCGTTTGTCACCCTATACTATAAAAAAAAATCCTAACAAACTAACTAAAGGTAGTTTTATGATAAAAATAAGCTTATGGTCTAAATAATAACACACTAAATCGGCAATGTTAATTAAACTATGAATGTTGCTTAATTCTAGAGATATTGGAAAATCTTTGTATTTTGGCATAATTCTTAGGTTACTAATTATCACATTATACATTTGAGTTGGGCTTAGTATAGATGGATGTAAGGTGTTGGTTTTTGCAAATAAAATTGAGTTTAATAAATCTTCGATTTTGAAGGACATTGTAAGTAAATTAGATAGCAAGGTATTTAAAATATTGGATAGTTTCGTTTGAAAACTGAGTATATTTAGCATTTCAGATGCATTTTTAACAGTAGAAGATAAGACTTCAATGACGCTATTTAACTTTATTTGATTGTCATTTAATTCCTCCAGGGATTTATTAACATTAGAAATAGCGGATTTGGAAACTAAGATATGCTTTTTGATAGACTCTGCTAGTTTATTTTCGTTATTAAATAGAGCATGAATGGCTTTGTTGTAGTTTTCAGCGTCATCTTCATCCAGTGTGCCGAAAATGTGTTTAAATACCGTGCCAATACCTGAGAACCAGGCAGATCTCTTGGACATACCGTTTAAGATAATATAGGAAATCGCATTAAAATCTCTTAAGATGTCGGTACAATCTATGTCGGTACTCTCACGACACTGAAATCGGATTATTTTAAATACTTCATGAATGTTTTCCAAATGGTGTTGGATTGGATGTACGTTAACCGGAATAACGATGTGAAATTGAAAATTAATTATCCTCAATGTACCAACAGGGTCGAAGAATATACCAGGGCTTTTGTCGATGCGTTCAATATATTGACCATTGCCGGTTGCAAGAATAATAGAACAAAATGCGATGGCGGTTCTGTAAATAATAATTAAGAGCTTACTAAGTCTAGATTATAAAATAACGTGTATGTAATGTAAAAGAAAAGTGTATAAATGAATTGTAAGTGTTAAAATATATGTCTTAAAACGAATGTAATTTTGATATTTAAGTACTTATGTCATGAGCGTGTTTCACTTCATCGAAGTGGTGTTTAACATGGCGTCTGTTAATAAGGAGAGTAAGGGTATTATTACTGTGGACATTGACAATTTTGTAAGGCCCCTTCCAAATGGGGGAGAGGACTTTGCGAAGACGAAGATGATTTTTGATGTAGACGTAATCTCCTATTTTATATTTGACCGTGCGAGAGTTTCTGTCGTAGTATGTTTTAGACCTTTCTTTTGAAATTTGTATATTTTGTTGGGCTTTATCTCGAGAAATCTTTAATCGATGCTGAAGCATTTTAATGTAATCAGGATAGGTAACGTTACTTTTTGATTCGACAATAGTATCGGAAATATACGGCTTATGACCAAAATGAAGTTTGTATGGAGTGAACTGAGTTGTTGTATGGACGTTACTGTTGTAGGCTAACATCGCCGTATTTGTGCCAATCCGTTTGGTTTTCGTTCACGAAGGACTTAAGATACTCTTTTTTCACCTTGAGTCTGGATGATACGGAGAGGACGATATCTGTCTTATTTTTAAAAATTCACATGTACGTTTGAAAAGGTCAGCCGTAAAATTTGTTGCTTGATCGGTAATTATGGATTTAGGGATCCCAAATTGTGAAATGAAGTGAACTAGAGCTTCGCATGTTTCTTCTGCGGTGACGTTGGAAATTGGATAGGCTGTAGAGAATTTGGTTAGATCATCTTGGAGAGTGAGTATAAATCGGAGTTTGGAAAAACCCGCTTCGGGTAAGGGGCCTACTATGTCTACTAGGCTTATTTTCTCAAATGGGCGAGTAGAAGTGGTTGTGATTTGCATAGGAGACCGGTTAATCTTGCGTAACGGTTTATTTATTTGGCAAAGTTTGCAATTTTGTATATACCTTTCTATACCTGCGCGCATGTTTTTCCAATAATAACGTTCTTTAATTCTATTATACATTTTATTTGATCCTAAGTGACCGGCTATTGGTATATCGTGATTTTCTTTTAGAATTTTCGATATTTCTGTTTGTACAGGGTATATTATGGAGTTATGATGTATATTTATTGTTATATTTGTATTGTTATATAAATACATAAGCATGCCGTATATTTTGACAAACGAATGTTGTTCGAACAGATTATTAAAATCAGAAACTGCGATTTCACTAATATTACCTGAAAGTATAATGTCGTCCCTGACGGCTTTTAAGCTTTTGAAGATTTCGGGATAGGACCAGTCATCAAAATAATATACTTTTGTGAAGAGAAGATAATAAATTTTGCCCTTTGACTCTATCTTTTTAAATGAGTGAAGTTCTCGTTCTTCGTTTAAGACCTTTGTGTCACTTAAACCGGAAAGAATATCCTCAAGATAGGGATTTGATTCGTCAAAATCGATAGATACGGGAACTAGGATTGTTTTGCAGTTGCTTTTTAAACGGCTCTCATTATATTCTTTTATGTAAGTATTAAAAGTCTCATCCTTTTTATAAAATGTTTTAAGGAATGTAGAGTAATCGTCGTTGCAATGGGCCAGGTTGTTTTCAGAGTCTTTATTCGATTCGTTACAGGAATTTAGTGGGGATTTTGCGTCTAATGGAATTGAATCAGTGTGTTCGGGATTCAACAGTTCTGATGGACTGAGATTCAAGTCACCCAGTTCAATGAGTTCTTCGAGAATGTCTGAAGGAAGTCCAGGATCTTGAGTAGTTTGAGGTTCTTCGTGGGAGGTGGAAGGTTGCGGATCTGAGATAGTGTCATTTTGTATAACCGGATTAACAGGAAAACGGGATAGTGCGTCTGCGTTACTGTTAATTTTGCCCTTTTTGTATTCGACCTCGTAGTCGAACACTTCTAATTTTAGTCTCCACCTTACTAGTTTTGAATCCGGGTCTTTGCAGTTAAATAACCACTTAAGTGGGCGGTGGTTGGTAATAATTTTAAAACGACGGCCATATAGGTATGGCCTAAATACTTTGGTACCGAAAAGAATTGCTACGCATTCCTTTCCTGTATACTGTAGTTACACTCGGCTTTATTTAAAGTTCTTGAAGCTTAAGCGACAGGTCTATCATTCCCTATGGGACCTTGTGATAATATCGCCGAAATAGCAAAATTTGATGCATCACAAGTCAACACGAAAGGCTTTCTGAAGTCTGGGTAGGCTAATATTGGAGCAGTAGTGAAACAATTTTTAGAGTTTCGAAGGCTAGTTGTTGCTCATTTTGCCAATCGAAAGGAACATTTTTCTTCAGAAGGTTTGTAAGAGGTTTTGCAATTTTGGATAGATTTGGTATAAATCTTCGATAATATGACACTAATCCCATGAAAGATTTGATATCTTTTGGACATCGAGGTTGGGGAAATTGTTGAACAGCTTTGGTTTTCACTGGATTTGGCTTTACCCCCTCGTTGGTAATGATATGATCAAGATATGATACTTCCTTTCGGAGAAATTTGCACTTATCTGGTTGGAGCTTAAGAATGAAGTGTCGGAGTCTGTCAAAGACGTTGGAAAGATTATTTATGTGTGTTTAAAGATCATATGAGTAAATAACGATATCATCTAGGTAGACGAAGCACTGGAGTCCTTGTAGGCCAGATAGGGCAGTGTTCATCAACCTTTAGAATGTTGAAGGGGCGTTTTTTAGCCCAAAAGGCATCCTTGTAAATTCAAAGTGTCCTTGTGGGACAGAAAAGGCAGTTTTAGGAGCGTCCTTTTCGGACATTCTTATCTGGTGGAAACCGGAAGCAAGATCTAAAGTGCTAAAGTATTTACATTTCCCTAACTGATCAAGAATTTCTGTTATGTTGGGTATCGGATAGGTATCTCCTATAGTGATGTCGTTTAGACGGCGGTAATCTATGACTACGCGCCACTAACGTTGTCCGGACGCATCGATTTTCTTTGGAACTATCCAAATTGGTGATGACCAGGGTGATGTCGAGGGTTTGATGATGCCATCGTCAAGCATTTTATTTATTTGGCGTTCTACTTCTGGTTTATGAATGTCAGGGAAGCGGTAAGACTTAGTGTTGATTGATATGGAAGACGAAGTAGGAATTTCGTGTCGCAAGACGTTTATGTTAGTTAATTTGTGGCCAGGCAGATGAAAGATATCGGAGTAAGTACAGCAAAGATTGCATAGTGCTTCTTTCTCTTCTTTGTTTAGGTGTGACAATCTTAAGAGATTTAGAGTTTGATCGGTGCGAGTAAGGACGTTATTTCGTTAACCGTCTGAAGAAGTATAAAAGATTTGATGATTATATTTATTTTCCAAAGGTTGTAGCGTTAGTTTTAGATAGGAATCGACGATTAATTTGCTTTCGGAAGTATTTACAACGGAGATATTAATTCTTGAATTTGATTTCACTTTTATAATGCAGTTAGCTATTAGGAGTGAGTCTACGGGGTTCTGATCGAGAACAAGTCCTTCTTTAATGTCCGGATTTCTTACAGAACACTCTATGATAGTTTCACATCGAGGTGCAATAGTATAGACTGGCTTAGTGAAACGAAGCTGTATTTCATCTTTATTTACTTTTAAGGTGTTGTTATCATAATTAATTTTGCAATTTAATTTGATAAGGAAGTCGCTACCGATGATTCCATCATACGGCAAATCAAACGCTGGAAGTACGTAGAAGTTATGTTGGTAGGAACAAAATTCAATTGGGATGTGACCAAGGGATGTAACAGAGTGATTTCCTATACCAGTAGTTTCTATAGTATTGTTGTTTATTTCAGGCATGTAAAAAAAATCTTTAATAATACTGATAGCTACGCCGGTATCGACGAGCAAGGATAAGGATTCCGACGAGACGGAAGTTTGAACTTTTATAAAAGGTAAGTATTTTTTTGATGGATTTGTAGAGATGTTATATATTTTAATATTGTTTTCTTTCTTTTCAGATGCAGGAGACGAAGTACTCTTCGATATGATGCCGTTGATAGGCTGTTTGGTAACTGAAGTAGAGTTATTAACTTTCAATCTGTCTGTTTGGGGCTGGATACCCTGTCGGTTAGATTGGGTTCGAACGGCAATAGGTGCGGGAGACGAAATACTCTTCGATATGACGCCGTTGATAGGCTGTTTAATAATTGAAGTAGCATTATTAACTTTAAATCTGTCGGTTTGGGGCTGGATACCCTGTCGGTTAGATTGAATTAGAACGGGAATAGAAAATGAGTGAAATGCTGTGTTACGATTGGCAATGGGGTGAGTAGCGGCTTCGCTATTTAGTCTTCCCGTGCGATACTGGGCGGGAAATCCTCCGCGTTTAAATGATGATTGGTGTTATCGACATTTTGATCGTATGCAATAGCAGCATTGATATGCTGATTACGATTCGGGAAAATGTGAGGCAGTGGACCATTATTATTGTAGTTATTGCGATTAACATTATTATTACTATAATTGATTTGAACGTTACCAAATCGTCGTCGATTATTAGCCTCGCGTTTGCGGCATGTTTCTAATGTATGACCGGGTATTTTACAATATCGGCACACTGGGTAATCAGTTCTGAACATAGAGGAAGACCCAGATGAATTATTAAAAGGCCTCTCTCGCGTGGTTGTTTGGTTTTGTTGAAAATTACGACTAGTAGAGCGTCTTTGGTATGAATCCTGGGTATTTGTTTGACTAAAGTGGCGTCGAGTCACCTGGAATATTTTTTCTTCAGATACGGCAAAATTAATAGCATCATTGAGCGTATCGGGATCGCGGCATCGAACTACTGTTGATAGACGAGGGTTTAAACCAACCACGAAAGTGTGTAACGCTAAGTCCTGCAATGCCGTGAGACGGCCTGCCAGTTCTCCCTTTTTTCTTGTAGGTATTGATATATTTATTTTCGTTAACAATTTAGACAAACACATCTCTATTCGCAGGGCGTACTGGTTGACCGTTTCATTATTGGATTGACGACATTCTTGTAGGTCTGAGAGCAGTGCAGCGTAATGTTTTCTGTCACCGAATTGGGATTTAAGAAAGTCTTCTAACTGTGACCAAGATTCAAATATTTTAATCGAGCAAGCACTTTCAGCGCGTCCTTCTAATTGACTAAGTATGTATTTTATAAGGATATCCCGTTGTTGAACCGACGCGAGGTTCATAGCATTACTACAGTTATTAATAAATGGCATTAATTTTTCTCGGTTGCCGTCAAACTTATACTTATAAATTTACAAAGAATATTGAGATCGATTCTTGGTGTCGAAATAACCGGTGTAGGTTCATCTTTAGGCATTGTGAAGGACGAGGATTAGTCAAAACAAAGATAAGGTACTCGGCGTTTCGCGTGGGAGTAGTAGCGATAAGGCGTTGCACTGGTCTCGAATACAAGCAATGGTACACAATTAAAATTATAATGTTTAAAAGACACTGGACATACAATTGATTATGTTAAAATGAATGAATGAGAGTATAACTGAAATATGAATTAATTTTGTATTTCTTCTTTTTTTTTGATTGTTTAAATAAATTAGGTTATATATTTTATAGTTTATAAAACATTCAGTATTATTAACAACATTTAAGACTGTATCGTTATAATATTCCTATAAAACTGGAGCGGACTTACGGGATTCAGAACGTTTTAGTAATTGCACAATTGAGTCCTCAGAGGCACCAAGGACATTTTATAGATAGCCACCAATGTTATACGGGACTTCACGAAATGTCTTTTAAAAAAACTATTTAGAAATTACAACTGGATTTATTATAGAATGATATAATTTTGGAATTGAAATTGGGAGGCGAGTATTTCGGATGAGAGTGTATGATGGACTGCGCGGTATTGCTAGTGTTGAAATAAGAAAGTACCGAGGCTACTAAGAGAGTGCTGACTGTGTGCTTTGTGTCAGCGGATCCCTATTAAAAGGGAATCTATAAAAGAGCGAAACCAAGGCTCCAA